GTTGCCAGTATCTGGTGTAGATATTGAACGTAGTTTTTCTAGTTATAAAAGCATTTTATCAGATAGAAGAGTAGCGCTTAAAGAAGAAAATATTCAAATGCTTAATTTTCTTTATTTTAATCTTAGTAATAATGATGATTATAATAATGAATTGATGATTTATGAATAATATAAATGTATAAATTTATTACTTAATTGTAAATAAATAAATAAAATTTGTATAGAATATAAATTATTAAAAAGTTTTTCATAATCGGAATTATGTTAATTCTGGCCAGAATTATGGTAATTCTGGCTGAAATTATGAATCACGATTTTCACGATTTTTGTGATTTTTCACGCCTGATTTTTGGGCCATCACGACGTCAAAATCCTGGACACCCTAAAAGATGTGTTACCTAAGCCCGTGATTAGTCACGTTGCCACCTTAGATATTGACAAAATAATACTTTATTAATAATATAAATAAATACAATAATATGCTTGGTTTAATATTCGTGACTAATCACGGGCTTAGGTATTACATTAGTTTTAAATATATATATTAAAATGGAATGGCCTTTATGTTAACTCAGGCCAATTTATAGTGTTGGCCTGAATTATATATATCAATGTAACATAAAATATCGATGCATCTTACTACAGTATGGTTAATTGTGAAATGGGACACGGAAAATTTATCATTTTGTCGGTACAAAAATGATATCAGTATCGTTTTTTTAAATAAATATGAAAGATATAATGTTTTTTGGAGTTTATCTCCATTTTAAGGAGTTTGTCATTTCAGAGGTCTTCAAAAGCAAAAAATTCACTTCAATATTAAGATGTTAATCTAAAAAAAAAGTTTTAAATGTCAATAAAAAAAGTAAAGGGCGTTAATGATAGTAAGTACAGTCAGACCTCTATGTACCGATATTTTATGTACAATTGCCGCTCTTTTTTTTCTTTAGAAATGCCGACACAACCAAATTTTAAGGTAAATAGGCGTGATATTGATTTTTTAACATTTATTTGAAGAAATGGGTATAATATCACTTTTACTCTTTCTTTTTTTTAGAAATGCTTTTAAGGTAAAATAGAAATAGGCGAGACATGAAATTATGTAGAAGTAATATTAATATCATTTTTACTTTTTTTTTTCTTTAGAAATGCTGAATTTTAAGATAAATAGAAATGGATGAGACGCGAAATTATGTTTTTTAACATTTATTGTGCTAACAGCATTTCTACATTTTTTTTCTTTCTTTAGAAATACTAGACTAATTAAATTCTGAGGTGAATATAGATAGTAGTGGGACGCGAGATTTGCTTTACTATTTTTTGCATTCCAACATCATACTTGTCAATAATAGTAGTGAGATACATGTGAAATGGGTGTGCATAAGTAGTTATTAGAATATTGAGTTTATTATATAATGCGCAAATATTACAATAACGTTATAGTATATATTGACATACATTTTACAAATAAAGCATCAATATTATTGTAATTATGTGATAATACATGTTATAATAGTGTTAAAGCAAATTCTGACATGGTGTTTTAATATATATTGAATCATACTTGTTTGCGTAATTATCACATTATTTCATTAAATTATTATTTATATGTGTAGCTTCATAAACTTTAAATTTCAGCATATATTAAATATATATAAACATATTTTATACATCCATACATTAGATATATTGTAATTATATCACATACATTAAATATTTTAATAATATGTTGAGTATATAGTTGTTATCTGTCAGTAATATTTTTATCATATTTTTAAAATCAATAGGTTTCTGCAAAGGCATATATTAAACTGTTAATTACATATCTTTCATATTGAATTTCTTTTTTATGACATCTCAATTTTTTTTTCATGATAATTAAATAATCACCTTAGTTTTTGATATTCTGATACAATATCTCTTATATTTGTACTATTTTTATGAAATGATTGAACGAATTGATTTTATTTAGTAAAAAAATAATGCATGGCATAGGTAATAATTTACATTTATAAAGGACAAAAAGATAATAATTTAGTAAATAATGAATTAAGACATTGAATAGGATACCGATATAACGTTAAAATTCTTTACGATATCAAAAATTTTTATAAAAAAGTAAAAAAAAAAAAAAATACAGTTCAAGAAAGATAGCGCAAAAATCCTAAACATAGTAGTTAATCCATGGTAGTAGATCTCTTTTTTTCTAAATATAATACTTCAGATTATCCTGCAAAAAAAAACTATAGAACGATTATGGTATGATAAAATTCAGTAGTAATTTATATTTTTAATTTATCCGTACAATCTTCCTTTTTGTGTCTTTTCCAATCCTCCTTCTGGCAATATTTACTACAATAATATACCGATTTACACCCTGTACAAAATTTGCTGGCCGCGTCTCCACATCGTTTACATACTCTTGCATCTTTTATATCATCACAACTATTTTCAGTTTTATCATTATCTTTGGTCTTCAAGACATCAACCCAAGTGTAATAATGATTCAAATCCTTCTGAGTTACTTTGGATAAGGTTAACATCTCTGCGGCAGTAAGAACTTTAACCGAGCCGACATTGCATTCCAAAATCCAATCTTTATGAGTATTATAAAATGGAACTGGGAGATGAAATGATATAGAAATTATAGGTGCCTCAGCAGCATTTAAGGAAACACTATCAAAGTAATAGTGAATTGGTTCTCGATCATCTGAAGTATTATTATTATTGCCCTTTCCTTTCTTGTCCTTTTTTTTCTTTTTTGGAGTCCTAGTAGTACCACCATTGGGAGCCGGTTTGATCAATCGTAGCCATATTTCCGCTTCTGAATGCACCATAGTAAACATATTATTCTTATTTATCATATCTGTTTTCCATCTCACAGAATATCTGGCAATAGGCGCTTTTAGGTCTTTAAATTCATCAAGTTTCATAATTATTGAAGAAGACAGATGCATTGTCATAAAAGTTTTCAACTCTATCGAATGCATTTCAAAATTTTTGACATGTCTTATAAATCCTTCAGATGCAAAAAGTAATCTAAATAATTTTGCTATAGTTTTTTCAGGAAATCGGACAACCATTATTTGAAACAGACGCACGAGAGTATTGATACTAAGTCCTTTAATGCGTGTTGTATAATCGGTACAACAAGCATTTGCAACCGATATTACATCCATCATTAATGTAACAGGTTTTTTCTCTATATCTTCGGTTTTACATTTTATATCAAATTTCCATGTGGAGTATACGGCAAAATCTTTATAGTAAGCGTCTATATATGTGATTCCTGTCAAAGATGCAATGACATTTAAATTCACACCAAGTCGTTCCTCTACAAACTCATTCATAGGTTTGGAAGGTGATTCACGTAATTTCATTAGCTGTAAAGTTAATAGAGAGTTATCCATTAACCTAGGTGCAGTGGAAAAAAGTATATTGAGGATTGACACATAATCAGCCAAATTAGAACAGTCAATGGCATCAAATCTGACGGATGAAGGTAATCGATAAAGTAGAGTGTCAATAACGTCTCCTAGAATTGGCACAACTTGCATTTGGACTGAAGAAGACTCACGCAATGATGCACGTAAAGAAACAAACTTTGGTAGTAAGGTTAATAATAAACGATCGTAAAGTGTTAACTGTTGGTTTCCAGATTGCAGAATGTAATCATCGATTTGAAATGCACGAAAAATACTTAATGTCGGATAGACGTCATCTTCCATTGTAGGAACTGTTAACATTGTGATATTAAACTTGGTGCGACCTGTTCCAGAATATGCGAATCTATGTTCATCATCACAATATTGAGCTTGAGTGCTAACTGGCAGTCGATAACGGGTGTATATGTTAATATCTTCATCTACGTGATGGTATTTTTTAAGATTTTCAAAAACCTCAGATTCTCGCAAAAAAGTTATCCTAGAATGTTCCCGCTGCCTGGCTTCCCAATTTAGAGCTGCAGGTGTAGGTGATTTTTCTTTCCAATGTCGCAATGTTCGTAATATGGAAGATGCTGTACTCGGGGAATATTTAAATGAAACCCAGGAAGGAAGTTTCTTTTTAAAACCCATGTTACCATTTTTTTTTTTTGTTTTTACATTATTTTCAAGAGATTCAATTAGACTATTTATACAATCATTTAGTTTATGAAAGGTATTAGTATTAATATTCTTCTCGCCCCATACTGAAAGAATTTGTATCGCACCAACAACAAAATCTTTATTCCATTTGTTGTAAAGACTTTCCAAATTTGTGAAAGATGGTTTCGGATCTGGCAACCTACTAATCATTTCAAGAAGTACTAGATCTCGTGTAAGCATTGTCGAATTGAAGTCATTAATTGTAAAGAGTAAATTGACGTTGTAATTTTCAGATTGACTTTCCAATAATATTGTAAGACCATAAACAGTTTCAACAATATTACGCAAATCACCAACACCACCTAAAAAAACAGATACTTGTTTATTTTTGATTTTTTGAGTATCGTGAAATATCATCGAAGCTTCAACAGTGGCTGTAGCATTGATATCGAGACCTTTCAACAGATTGAAGCCATATGTATTACCAATTGCATAGAGATTAGGATCTTCTTCATAAAATAAATGTATTCCTGGACGATTAGAAGAGACGTTAAAATTAACATAGTTCTCTTGATCTGAGTAATTATCTCCAATTTCATTGTTATTCATTTCTACTGGAACAGACAATTGCTGCACATCCACTCCACATTTTTTTGCTAATGTATTGTAAAACTTATCATTGAACTTCCCAATATTTATTTTATTGGAATAAATTTGATTGTTCTCCATAATTACTTTTCCCTGATAATTTGCTCCAATTTCAATGCCATTTGATTTATTATGATGAATAATATTATTAATAAGAAATGCATCAACACCTCCTTTGATAATACATCCAGTAACACCATTATTTGCAATTTCATTTTCTTCCATTCGCACGTTAGCCTGAAAGTCTGTTGAAACACCAAAAGAACCATTTTCTAGAATCCGATTCTTTCGTAATACAGCGAATGTTTGCGAAGGTTTAGTGTAATTTGATGTAGGTGGTGGTTGAACTGTATGTTGCGGCGGGTTTTTAATATTGAGTGTTTTTGATAAAAGTGGTTCACGGTTACCATTGATAAGAATTCCTTCTGCGTCATTATTATGGATAATATTATCAATAAGTGTAATTTCATTGGCGTCTAACCATGCTGAAATACCCTGCTTGTTATGATAAATATCATTATTTTTAGCACATAAGCTTGATCCATATCGAACTTCAATTGCGCTCACTCCAATATTGTATAATTTACAATCTTTAATATAAGCTATACTATCAATATCAGCTAAAATACCGCCAGCATTTTTTGTATTGGCAACAACACATTTGTTCATGAATAGTTTTGCTTTACGACCATCAATACAAATAGGAGGAACCGGTCCAGAACATTTGATGAACCAGCAGTTGTCTACAAAAACCTGAGAGGTTTTCATAAATAGTGAGTATCCTCGAGTACATTCAACATGAATATTATATAGTACAAGATTACTATCACTACCTCGGAATACATTGATGTCAGAATTCTTTATTGTCACCTTACCAATTCCAATGATAACGATGTTTCTGTTATCCATTTCCATCAACATCGTAGTTGTATATGTACCAGGCTCAAGAACCAATACTACATCTTCAAACTGAAACAGATCAAGTAGTCCTTCGTCAAGTCGGTTATAGTACTGTCTTTTGATAATCTTCGGGGTTGAAAAAGGCATTCTTTTACATTGTTGGATAAAAAATTCGTCTTCATGAGAAATTTCGCCCAATGCCAGAGAAATTAAAATATTAGCATATGCACCAAATAGGTTATTATTTGTAGCATGCATTTTTGCAATTATACTGTAAGCTCCTTTATTGCACATTGCATCTAATCCAATTGATGTATTGAGGTAGTCCAAAACTTGAGGTTGTTTTTCTTCTTCTGACATAGTACCATTTTCTATAATAGTTTTTGCAAGATTGAAATAAATTGTTGACAACTCTTTTCGTTCTTTAGATGAAAGAAGAGAGAATGAAGACTCTGGAAGGACAAAAGAAGTAGATTTAAACGCTTTAGGATGTTTTTTCTGGAACTTTTCCAGTTCCTGCATGTAAATTTCGAAAGTATTTTCAATATGAACGGACTCCATATATCAAAAATATTTAAAAGAAGAGGGTGGGAATCCCTTAACAACAAAAACTCGCAATTATCAATTTAATTCAAGATCTTCAGCCATACATGTGAAGATTAACGTGTAAATCCAAATTTTTTTCTTTGAATTCGTAAACCTGCTTCAAACCCGACAGCTCGGACACGTGATCGATGTGGCGGTTGATCTTTTCTTCATATTTCTTTTGTAAAAAAATTATTAAAAATCTAAGTTAAATGTTACACAAAAGATAAGCACAGTCACGTTAACCTATCCTGATCATGTGGAAAGAGTAGCTTCACAATGTAAATTCCTTTTTTAGATTTTCGCGACAGTATATAAATTTCGATTATATTAACTCTTTGTACTATTTTTTTTGTTAGTTATGGTTTTATAATATATTTTTCTATTTTTATTTTTTTTATTTTTATTTTTATTTTTATTTTTTTTCTGTATTTTTTTTTCATTATGATGCTTGTAGTCTAAATTAAGCAAATAATATTAATAATTAAATTTCTTTCAGAATATGATTTCATAGTTGTTGAATTAGTAAAATTTGCTTAATTTAAACTATAATAAGACCTTAGCGTACTCGGTATTTGATATATAAATATATTAAAAACGATATTTAACGATAAAATTATACTTTTCCCACTATATAAATAAATATCGATTTAGGTATATCAAAGATTTTTATATGGATCCTTGACATATGGAGTTTGATAAATTTTTTATAATAAGCACATGTTTTCTTTTATGTTGTATAAATACGGGTTATAATAATATTTATTATTTGATAGTTAGATAAATAGGTCTTTTAATACATGCAAATTTATTTTCATTTTATAATTTTAAGTATTGTTATCAGTTATAAAGGCGTAAATAATATAAATTCAATTATAGTAATATTATCAAACTGAATTAAACAATACAAAGTTAATTGCTTCGTCCTTTGTTGTCGATCCTTTTTTAGCAATGAATGACACAAAGTCAAAGTCATTGTTAAAAAGTCTTTATGTAGTTACTTTAAAATTAGTACAATGTAAGAGTTTTATCTGTATAAAAACATGCATTTTTTAAAAAAGGAAAAAAAAGAGGTAAGTTTAGTATGCAAAAAAATATCAAAAATAATTTTAAAGGTAATAATGATCATAAGACTCATGAAAGAGAATCTCTAGAACATAATTTGTTGAATAAAATTCATTATAAAAAAGAATCTTCAGAAAACATTAAGCTTGATAATTATTACGAAAAAGATATAGCTAATAAAGAATTCGGGTTTTGTTTTAATTGTAATAAACCACAGACTGAAGAAAATTGGTGTTTAAATTGTAATTCTAAATTTTTTCAAAAAGAATTCAATAATTGGAGAAGTGAAAATATGTATATAGATAAATTTATACAAGAAGCTCAATTAAATGCAAGAAATAATAATGAAGTTATAGAATGGATTGATTATAATCGTTTTATAAATATACGATATATTGCTCGAGGAGGATTTAGTATTATTTATGGGGCTGATTGGTTAGATGGAAGTATTGATTGTTGGAATTATGAAAAGAAAGATTGGAATAGAATTACTCAAAAAAATGGAATTCGTGTAATACTTAAAAGTTTAAACGATTCTTCGAATATTCACGAAGATTTCCTAAATGAGGTAATTATTTATTTAATTTTTAATTTTTTAAATGGCATTTTTTTTTTATTAATATATATATATAACATTTTTAGTTGAAAAATCATTTAAAATTTTTATATTCAGCTATAAATAATTATTCAAATTTTGTGAAAATTTATGGAATAACTAAAGATCCAAATACATCAAATTATATGATTGTTTTAAAAGAAATGCCAATGGGTAATTTAAGATCTATACTTATGATAAAAAAATGTAATCAAAATGATAAATATTATAATTTATATGAGATAACAAGTTCACTTTCCGCTTTGCATAAATGTGATCTAGTTCATGGTGATTTACATAGTGGAAATATACTTTTTAAAGATATATTTACTGCTTATATAAGCGATTTTGGATTAAGTAAACCGGCGGATCAATCTATTGATTATAATGTGATTTCTGGAGTACTTCCATATATCGCTCCGGAAGTTTTACGTGGAAAACCGTATACAAAAGCTGCTGATATTTATAGTCTTGGTGTTATTATGTGGGAATTTACATCAGGTGTTCCTGCTTTTAATAATAGACCTCATGATTTTAATCTTTCCTTAGATATTTGTAGAGGATTAAGACCAGAAATTATAGAAGGAACAGAACCTGATTATGAAGAATTAATGAAAAGATGTTGGAATACTGATCCCAAAAAAAGACCAACTGCAGATGAATTAGCAGAAATATTTGACGTGTTATCTACTAAATTTATAATACCAATGAAGGATGAAGAAAGAAAGTCAGTACCAGCAGTACCAGCAATACCAGGTAAATAAGATTTTTTTTTCTTATATTAATTATATTTAATCATTAATCGATTATTACTATTGTAGAGGATAAATCATATCATCCATTAACTTGTTATACAAGTAGAAAATTTGATTATTCTGTAAAGTTGAATGAAATTTTAAATCAAGAAGAATTAAGTTTTAAATTTACAATAAATGAGAAAGATGATTATAAAGAAACAATATTAAGTGAAAGTTTAGGTAAGTATTACTTTTTATATTAATTTTAGGGGTTAGGGTTAGTACTAGGTATAATGGATTATTTAATTAACTAAATAACTATGGTGATAAATAATTATTTGCCGCTATATAGTAATGAATAGCGGAACCCTTTTATTAATACATTTTTCTATTAATAACTTTTATAGAAAATTGTAAGGTTTCTAGTACTATTTTAGGTAATTTACATTTTTTATTTAGTGTTTATAATTTCCCATATATTATAAATTATTTTTTTTTTTAATTAATTATTTTTTTTTGTAGATATTAATCAAGAAAAGAGAGAAAAAAGTTGATTGATTAAACAAATTTATAAGGTGCTAGTATACTGCTATAGAATATAAAGATTTGATATAACGCATCTATACTTTCGCTACGTTTATCATATCGGTTGGTTATTGGTTAATGGAGGAAGTTCCTAAATTTTGAGAAATGTCGTAAAAGTTTATGGGTTTGACACCATAGTGGGAGTTAAGAGTGTGGTACAATGGGTTAGACGCAGTCTCATATAAAAAATTAGGGTAGAAAAGTTTATTATGGTACTTTTTAGTAATAATGAGTGATTTTTAGTTGACTAGATCATGTAATATTTACAATTTTGGGTAATGATTGAAAAATAATTAAGACCCAATTTCTCCAGTCGATGAGTTCAAAAGTAGAATCTGAGGTACGTTGAACAGACTATTAATTAGATTAAACAATTTTATTTTTTATTATTATTATCTTTTTTTTTTCATTAAATATTGGTGAAAATTCTTATATTCGAATTTACAATTTAAAGATCGTTGTTAATAATATCAGCTATATAATGAAGTTAATTATGATGATAACCATCGAACTTACTCGTTAATACTTTACGAGCCTGTAGGGTTACACAAAATTTCCCTTTTCGTATTAAAATAATACACTTTCATGCACTAGTGATAAAATGAATACTATAATACTTCTCCGTTAATAGTAAATAATTATCAGTTGCATGATATGAAATTGTTTCGTTGCCATACTTCTTTCTTTAACGACACAATCTAGCATTTTTCTTCTTTTATAGTTTATCAATGTCCTTTCAATTTAATAAAATAGGAAGGATTATCAATGTGATGCATGATAATTTCGGTGATCAAAAATGGTTTGAATGAATGAAAGTTTAAAGTTTAACGTAAATAGTCAAAACAATATTATTGAAAGAAATTATAATACAACTATTTTAATAGGAACAAAAATTTTACTTTTTTGTTGTTCCTCTCCATAAATATAATATATGGAGTACATTGTTATTACACGTACAGTAATTTGTTACGTCATTAGCAAGAAAAGTGGAGCGTATCATAGTCGTTTAAGTAACCAATTAAAATGATTATTTTTCATAAAAAAAAAAATGTTTATAATGAAACTCATTAATATTTTGTTTTTTAAAAAAGATAATTAATTAGATTTAAGGAGTTGCGAATATAAATTATTTTCAATAGATTATTATGTGGTCTTAATATAAACATTGAAATGTAATTATCGTAAAACAGACTTTTTAAGTTCAGTACTGAAGAATTGATGTTTTCTATTGACAAATATCCTGTAACCTATTTCCTATTTTCTATAATACGGATAGTGACGAATATACAGTATTTAATATGATCGCACAGTACTTCTAAATGTATGTAGGCATTTTCATCTATTCTTAATTTGATAAGTATCATAGTTTATCAGTTATATCAAACAAATAGTTAAAATTATATATATTTGTAAGAAAACTTTTAGGTAAATTAAATAAATATTTGGCGCAGTTTCATGATTGTCGGTGTTAAACAATAATTTTTTTTAATTTATTCATATTTTTATAAATTGAGTCAAATATTTTATATATATATATATTTTTTCATAAGATAAATTTTTTGTTACGAAGACCAAATCATGATCGTTGTAAAGCCTACGCCCGCACGTTGCCACCGCAGCTTTAACAAAAACGACTTTTTATTGATAATATAAAGTTATACAAGTAAAATAAAATAATGCTTGGTTTAGTAATATTTCTAAATAAAGTAATTGATTAAAAATAAATCCCGTTTAATTTCTAACAAACTCCCCCCTTTTTCACTAAGTCCAAATTTGTTATAAAAAATGAATAAATTCTAAGTCCATAAAATATTTCAGTTTCCACTTTTTGAAATCTTCCATTTCCATTTTTGAAGCATTTTGCTTTTTAGTAAACCTTTTTCTTGAACTTATTCCCTTTCAGAAAATGTCGTTTTCCCACTTTTCGTAAATATTTAACTTTTCAAAATTTCCAATTTTTGATCTTCAATCTTATTTCTTATTATAATAATAATATCCCGAACTTAATTCCCTTTCCCAAAATCTAAAAATAAAAGTAAACACAAGAACTATGTAATACTAAACATTACATATGGCTCAGTTTATACTCGTGATCCCGGAGTTATATATATCCGTCATCCCGGACCGCAGTAGAAAAATACTATATTACTTAAACTAAATATAATACTACGCCCCATACTTAATAAATTCACTGGGTGACTTTATCAATTTACTACGTTCAAAAACTATTTCATAATTCAGTCCGGATGATCGACATCCTGGATTTTTGATTTGTAATGTGAAATTCGGATAAACCCAATCCGGGATGATCAGCATTTCAAGGAATTTAACAAAATTTTACTACTTACTGCAGATCATTTCCTTGTTTAAACCGGAAAATTCTTACATCATGGAATTCTGAGGAATTCTTTACGGAGATATTTTTCCGAAATTCTATTATAATTATTATTATAAATACCTTCATAATTTTTAATTTCTCGAAATTTTCTTCCTTCATTAAACTCTATCATGGAACTTATAAGTACTAAGGGTAAATACTCTTTCGACCCTACACCGAAATTAAAATCCAATCCTGTGCCAATTTTATTTTTTCCTTTTAATGATAAAAAAGATTGTTGTGATTGCTGTGAAAGTATATATTCTAAGACATTATCGAGGCAAAAATATTGCAAAAATTGCTTATTTGATTATGTTAATAATCTGACTGACAATAATATATACTTGGATGTTATATATGAAATTGTAGATCGATGTATAGAGCATAAGGATTCTGATACGCAAAATATTCAAGAATGGTGCAATAATTGTTCTAAAATTTCACATTTTAATCAAATAGCTGCAAAAGACAGATTTGATTATTCTTATCATAATACTAAGTGTAAATTATGTGAGAAAGTTTATAATGGGTTGTGTTCAAATTGCTATTTTATTTCTTTTGAATGGATAGAATCAACTTTGGTTAAAAACCCCATTCCAATTGTTTATTTACCTTGGTGGGATTATTCAAGTGTGTGTATAACTTGTAGAGATAATTTAGAATATATATCTGACCGTCAAAAATGGTGTTCATATTGCTTTATAATTTATATAGGGTGTAGATATTGTTTGACAACAAATATTATTTTTGGAATTACGGAACAGTCTAAATGTAGAAAATGTAAAAGAGTTATTGATATCGACGTTACAGGCATTGATGAGTATAAATTAAAAAATTTTACTCGTAGAATAATCATTATTAATAAAAATATTGTTAATTGGGAGAATAATATTAAACAAGGATCGAATTTGGTGGATTCAGCATATCAATTTATACGGGAATTTTATTACTGTAATAATTTTGATCCCATTAAAGTAGATAGACAAATTCGATTTATTTCCTTTAGGAATAATATGGATAAGTGCAATTATTGTAGATCTAGTTATTCTTCAACAATCTTATTTGAACAAAAGTATTGCAAATATTGTTTGTATTTGTATCGCAAGGACTTAAGTGATAAAAATGTATGTTTAGATGTGCATATAAATAATACTAGTAATTATCATTGTACTGAACATGAATCAAAAAATATTGAATCATATACACAAAATATTCAAGAATGGTGTATGAACTGTTCTGAGATTTTATATTTTAAGCAAATAATTACGAAATGTTCATTTGATATGAATTATTATTATAAAAGACAAAATGAAATAATTAAATGTGAAAAGAATTGTACACTATGTGGTCAGCAAAATTTATTAATCAATACTGAGTTTAGTTTATGTTCAAAATGTTACTTAATTTCTTTTGAATGGATAGAATCTACTTTAACTGAAAAAACTATTTTAATTCTTTATTTGTTATCATGGTGGTATAATAATGAGCATTGTATTGTTTGTAAACATATCTTAAATGATATATCCTCCAAGGCATCAGATGATTGTCAAAAATGGTGTTCAAATTGTTTTACGATTTATATTGGATGTAGATATTGTTTAGCAACAAACATTATTTTTGGACTTACAAGCCAATCTAAATGTAAAAAATGCGAAAGAATATCATTTATTACTATTGACACTGAAAATATTATGGAAAATTTTATTGTTTCTACAAATATCAATGCTAATAATTATAATCAGATTGTTAACTATATTAATAGTAATAAGATTTCTAATGCATTAAAGATTTATAGTTTTATAAGTAAGCTTAAAGTTTTTGATTTAAAATATATCTCCTATTCAAACTTAGAAAATAGTGAAGAATGTTCTATGCCAATTATATTCGTTCCTTTTAATAATAATAGTAACAAATGTTGTTATTGTGGAAATATTTATTCACCAACACTTCTGTTTGAACAAAAATATTGCAAGTATTGTTTAATTTGGTATAATAAGTTTACAAAGTTTACTATAACTATAAACGTATTGGATATATATATAATTACAAGTAATACTCAATGTACTGAACATGATAAACCAAGAAATTTGGATTTTTGTACACAAAATATTCAAGAATGGTGTATTAATTGTTCTGAAGTTTCATACTTTAAGCAGATCATTACACAATATCCAATTGATATGGAAAAACAAAGTGAAATGGTTCAAAATGAAAATTGTAATCTGTATGGAAATTTAATTTATCAACAAATTTCTTTCATGTGTTTAGATTATTATTCAATTTCTTCTGGATATATAGAATCAACTTTAATTAAAAAAAATATTCCAATACTCTATTTACCTTCGTGGGATACATCTAATAATTGTATAACTTGTAAGCAGAACTTACAAGTTAAGTCAGAATGTCAAAAATGGTGTTCAAATTGTTTTATAATTTATAATGGATGTAGATATTGCTTAACAACAAATATTATTTTTGGACTTACAAGTCAATCTAAATGTAAAAAATGTGAAAGAATATCATTTATTACTATTGACACAGAAAAAATTACAGAAAATTTTATTGTTTCCGCAAAAGTCAATGCTAATAATTACAATCAGATTGTTAACTATGTAAATAGTAATAAGAATTCTAATGTATTAAAGATTTATAATTTTATAAGTGAGCTTAAGTTTTTTGATTTAAGATATATTATCTATTCAAATTTAGAAAATAATGAAGAATTTTCTATACCAATTATATTTGTTCCTTTTAATGATGATGTTAGCAATATATGTTGTCATTGTGAAAATAGTTATTCTTTTACGCTTCTATTTAAACAAAAATATTGCAAATATTGCTTATATTGGTATATTAAGTTTACAACTCAAAATATGGTGGATGTATATATAATCACAAATAGTAACACTAAATGCACTGGACATGAGCCAAGAAATTCGGATTTTTGTACACAAAATATCCAAGAATGGTGTATTAATTGCTCTGAAATTTCATACTTTAAACAGGTCATTACACAGCATTTATTTGAGATGAAAGAACAAAGTAAAGTAATTCAAAGTGAAAATTGCAATCTGTGTGGAAATTTAATTAATCAACAAATTTCTTTCATGTGTTTGGATTGCTATTCAGTTTCTTCTGGATATATAGAATCAATTTCGATCAAAAAAAAAATTCCAATTCTATATTTACCTTGGTGGGATACATCTGGCAATTGTATAGCATGTAAACAGAGCTTTGAATATAAATCTGATTATCAAAAATGGTGTTTACACTGCTTTATAATTTATAATAGATGTAGATATTGTTTAACGACAAATATTATTTTTGGATTTACAAACCAATCTCAATGTATAAAATGCAAAAGAGTGGAACCAATTAGTATTAATGGAAATTATAATATAGATGAATTACTTAATTCTACTATTGAGACTAATGACGAGATTGCTAAATATATGAATAATGCTTATATAGACAATGTCCCATTAAAAATATATGATTTCATTAGAAATAAAGTTAAGATGAGTTGTAAAAATATAAAAATTATCGAATATTCCAAAACTGAAGATTTTAAAAGAATTGCGGAGGGAGGATTTGGTATTATTTATAAAGCGGCTTGGAAAATAAGTCATTCCAATTCAAAAATTGTTGCAGTAAAAAAATTTTTGAAATCACAGAATATCAGTAAATATTTTATTAATGAGGTAAATATATAATAGTTAATCTTTTATTTCTATTACTTAATAAATTAACCTACCTTATAATTTATATTAGTTAAAACCATTTATTCAATATCATAATAGATTTGAACATATTATTAAATATTATGGTATTACACAAGATCATAATACAAAAGATCATATGATAATAATGCAATATGCAGATGGAGGAGATTTGCATAAATATTTACAAACCAATTTTAAAAATATTACATGGGAAGATAAATTAACTATTTTACTGGAAATTTCAAGGGGGTGATTATTATATTTTATTTAATTTGTGCTCGTCAATTAATATTAGGTTGGCTAACTATCAAATTGTTTACTTTGTTTTTAGAGTTTATTGCATTCATAAAGAGAATTTTATACATAGAGATTTACATAGTGGAAATATATTATTAGTTAATGGTAAATGGCACATTGGAGATTTAGGATTATCACGGCCTGCAAATGTTACTTCATCAAATGATGAAATATATGGAGTAATACCTTATGTTGCTCCAGAAATATTTAATGGTAACAAATTTTCAAAAGAATCAGATATTTATAGTTTTGGTATGATCATGTGGGAATTAACGACAGGTTGTAAACCTTTTGCTGATTTTGACCATGACATTGGTCTTATTTATAAAATTATTGATGGAAAACGACCTGAAATCACAGATGATACCCCTAAATGTTTTAGTAATTTAATGAAAAAATGTTGGGACTCTGATCCTTTAAAAAGACCTCGTATAGAAGCAATTCGTAAAACTATTGCTTTATGGAAATGTGCAATGAAAAATATTTTACATTCACATATTTATCAAACTGAAAATATGGAAGATGTTGATAAATTTAATCAAGCTGAAGAAATACGATTGGGATTAATGAAGATAAACGAGCTTGATCCTAGATTTACTGTAAACTATCATCCTGGAGCTATTTATACTAGCAGATTATTAAATCCTTTAATCTCGGAGTCATTATCTATTAGTTTATCATCATCAACTTCATTTAATAAGAAACAAGGTATTAAATATTAATTTTTTTATTTTATTTATAATACTTAACATTATCATTATTTTTGGAGCATTAATAATATACAAAATTTATCCCACATTTTCTATATTTTAGAGTATACTTCAAAAGATCTTGAGTCTGATATTAACAATGTTAAACGGTATTAATATGTAATTGCAAAAAAATTAAAAACAGACATTAATGCAATTAATTAATAATTTAAAATATTTATATTTAGGTCATCTTTATCAGAATTAAATTCTACCACTCAGAATTCAGTGAATAATATTCAATGTCCAAATGCGATTTATACCAGCAGATCATTAAATGAAATGTTGCCAATAAAGCAAGGTATGTTAAATTATATAAAACATAATTTAAGAATTCAATTGAAACTTATTGTTATACATTTCTTATTTCTTATATTTCTTTAGAGTATAGTTCAAGAGAAATTGAACTTGATATTAATGACGCTCAATGGTATTAACTTGAATTATAAATAAGAAAAATTAAGTTAGATATTAATGTAGCTAATATTATAGTTATTAATTTAATAATAGGTCGCCTTTACCAGACGTAAATTCTACAGTCCAAAATTCATTATATAAAATTGCAGAGATAAAAACTGAAACACAAAATAATGGTGGGTTACCTTTTTTAGTATATTTAATATTATCACATTAATACTTAATTATTATATATAGCATTAATCGAATTTTTTTTAAAAAAAAAAAATAGAAAAGCTTGTTTTGCAAGATGATTTAGGAACAGGTTTACAATTAAAATCACAGGATCAAATTATATGTAGAGATGCGTCGATTAACAACGCTAATTGATGTTTCGGAAGGAAGGACAGTCGAATGGGCTCGACGACTTACAATAAGGATCCGGTTAAAGAGTTTGATAAGTTGAATACTGAATTTAGTGATAGAATTAAGGAAATTAGTGGTAATACATAAGGATTTAAAGATAAAGGTAAAGAAGGTGAAACAGGTAATGATACTTTGAACGTTAACAAAAAACGTAGTGCGCAATCTCAGGGGGCTAGGGAATTTAGAGATACTGATAGTTATAAAGAATAAATATATTCAATAGAGTAGTCTTTTATACTGTAATAATTAGCTTAATCACAATATAGTTAGTTTTTATTTTTTAGTATAGCCAATAATTATGTATTAGATAGATACTTTATTATTTACTATGTATTTACGTCTACATATACTTTTATATATTTTAAAAATTTTTTTTTTAAAAAAATGTATTATTTATCTTTAATAAACTTGTTCTGATTTGATTATTAACAAAATAAGGCTATCACTATGTGTATAATTATTATTTCTATCTTATTCTTTTCTTCCTATTGATATAAGTCACGACCATCACGCACATATGATTTCATGAACTTATTATGCCCAAAACTTAAACGTTACTTTATCACAAAAATTGTAAATTGTAAATTGATAATTGATAAATCTAACCACTTGGCTAATTATGAATTATAAGTTGGTTTAGTAAATCAAACCGGAAGTAAGATGGTATTACTGTATTATAATTTTTCACATATACTATATACAAATAAGATTTAATATAAGTAATTCACTTAATATCGGGATAAAGGTTGGAACCGACCAAAAAAATTTTAACCTGTTGGTTAAAAACCTAACCGAAGACCTTTAGTCGATTAATATTAAAAAAAAAAAGTTTTTTGGTTGCAAATCGTACCAATTTGTCTTTACTCATATATTTAATTGTAAGGAAGATATCATATCGAACTTATTACTAAAAAGTTCCGATTTTTGAGATACCTTAACCGGTCCCACCGTAGGCGAAAGTTTATGTAATTATTAGAGAATTTTTCTTGTGGTCGTCATATGATATTAGAATATTTAAGAAGTTTCCCATATAAGGGTTTATATACAGTAAATCACTACCTTAATATAACTCTGATTTTTTTCTTTAGTATCAAAAAGCAAGGTGTTACGTTATTATTTAAGGTGTATTCTTTAAATGACAAGGAAAATTCCCGAATTTGATGATCATAAAAATCATTAATAAATTTTTATATATATAGTTTTTGATTTAATTAGTTGATAGCACACCCCAATGATTCATGGCAACTTTCCATCATGTTAACATGGTGACCTTTTATTCTTGTTAATCATATTTGATTTTTAATGTTCATATTTGGAATATTAGAATTTTTTTTTTGAAACCTGATTTTCTGATTTTATCACATTCGTGACATTTTTATCACGTCAATTTATTTTGACACGTGAAACATGAACAGATAATTTATCAAAAAAAAAAAGAAATCGATCATTTAAAAAAACTAAACGACCACTCATAAAACCCAATTTTTTTATGAAAAATGAATCCGAATTTTTTTATTAAACATATTTGATTAATTTTAAGTAAATTAGTTTTGGTAAAAGGGTGACAATAATAAATTTAATAAAATACGTGCCATGACCTCAAAATTAATAACATTATAAAAAGTACATATATATCATATATATAAGTGTAATTTAAAAGCGATTTAAAGACGAAATTGACGAAATGAGTTTTGACAGTATATTAAGTAAATTTCCAAGATGCATAGTCCTCAGTCCTCAATCATCGTTATCATCTGGAAAAGTTTGAGATATTAGTAAAATGATGAATTTATAAAGAATACAAAAAAAAAAAAGAAAATATTATCAAATTATAAATTAAAACATAAAGATTATCTATTAGTTATAATGGAGTAATAAATTTGATAATTTTGTAAATTTTTCATTATATTTTTATTATTATTTTAGTGATTTGTTGCGAGTTAAATTAAAATTAAATTAATTGAAACTCAAAATGTTAAATAAATTTTTACATGGCGCAATTTATAGTTATACATTTACAATCTGGTAATATATAATGATCAATTTCAAAACGTCATTACAATCCGTTTTAATTAGCAACATATTGATTTTAGCGCTAATGTGTTACAATAATAACAATATTATTAGAAGTGGGTGAAACCATTTCTTTTATTACTATAATGAAAGAAATATTGAATTAATATTCCATAATATTTATTTATTCGCTGTATACATACAAGTACTACTTTCAGTCAACCTCACCTTTTTTTTCGTAATACAACGTAACATAGAAAAAATTTATTTCCACACGCAGCTATGCATTGAAGAATATTAGGACTGCAGCTTATCATATATTATATGTATTACTTATCTCCTGGCTAATTAGGAATAAGTAAAATTTTACTAGGATTGGATAAATGATCGGCCGAAGGCTGATCATGTTCCGATTCTAAGTAAAATTTTACTATTCCAATTAGCCAGGAGATAATTGATTTATCCCCTGCCATTTACACAATAGTAAGTGTTTTATAGTATATCGTGAGTTTAATATAGTTTATTTTATTGTTGTATCTTATTTTTCTTTCACTTGGTTTTTTTTTTCATTTTAAAAGATTTTAAAAAATAATTGAATTTTAAAAAGCTTCGGAACTATTACTAATACACTTGAAAAATAATATTGAGATTACAAATAAATTAAAAGAAAGTTTTTCTCATTTGGAAAATGCAAATCTTTCCAAATTACTCAAATTTTCAAATCAGTCCATTATAGTATAATCAATAGTTAATTTTTACCGCAAAATTTCCTAGAAACGGATAAATAAATACATATAAAATTTGCTATCCAGTAGGTATAACTACATTTGCATAATCGTGTAAATGGTGCCGATCAGGGGATAAAAAGAATTATATCATTCCGTACACATATATTCCTTCTGATAAAATTATAAATTTCTTGTAAAGTTGAATTGAAATTTGGATATCATATACGATTACTGTAGATAAGATAAAAATGAACTGATTGAAATATAAAAGTGAGGTAAAAAAAAAAAATTTTTTTTTTTTTTTGCATAATTTATATTTGCAAATAATAATATTAAGATTAGTTAAAAGCATCAATTTATCAGTAATTACAATTGCAAGTTGTATATTCTTCGATTAAAAAGTGTGTACACAGTATATAACATTTAGGTCGCACACATGAGAACGTGTGTTGTACCATCACGTAATACAAAGTTTTTGATCATTCAAAATGGTTTCACAAATGTGCTGACAAAATTGTTTAAATTATTGTGCACCGGACTCCGAATATTAATATGTACGACTTATTTAAAGTTAATTAATATGGAAATATTGAATAAAACATCCAAAAAGCCAAGAAACTTATGGAGTAAATGTAACAAACAATACAGTTTAAATAATAAATATATTTAATTATCATTTAAAAGAGGCATGTTATAGTTTCTTCTATTGATGCTGAAAAGATAAATGATAGAATAATTTATATGAAAGGTTTTAGAAGAAATAAAAGAAGTATATGGTATACATTGGTGTCAACCTTGTAATACTAAAAGATTTAAGGAAATCTTTAAAAAATTGGCCTAGTGGAGATTGTTCTCCAGAAAAAATTCGTACTCATACCAAATTTGATTCTGTACTTATACTACACTATACCCTTTATGAAAACCTGTAATTAATAATAAAATGTTATTGTTGATTGATTGTAATTGAAATTATAATTTTAATCGTTTTGGCGCGACTACTCCGCATTTTTTTTTATTATTTATAAGGATTACGTTAGCTCGCAATTAAATGTAATGCCAAATACCAAAAGACTTTAAATTTTGTGTCATTATTTAATGAAAATATTTAGTATATATATATATTTTTTATAATCTATAAGAATCACGCTTAAATGTGTATTTATGCACATTAATAATACTTGGGAATAAAACAAATATTTTTGGTTGGCGTTTAATGTTGAAAAACAAATGCATATGATTATTATACATTTATAAAATCAGAATCATGTTCGGTATTAACCCAGCTGCATGTAAAGAAGTTTTTTTAGGCGGCTCTTACCTCCCCTGTAATAAACCATGTGATTGATGATCAATCACGTTAAACTTAGTTAAATTTTAAATTTTACTGCGCCATTCGTTAATACACGCCACTTGAACTAGTATTTTTTTTAATCTAATCAAAGCTTCATTATTTCTTGAAAGATATTTCTACCACATCCTGCTGAATATAAGTTTCAAAGATGTTCAAACATTTGTAAAATTTCAAGGCTACGTATTAGTAAAGAACTCATAAGGATCGACATGATGAATTGAAAAATATCACCTTACATTGCGATCGAGGTGGTGTTTACAATAACTCTTTGGGTCTTACTAAAAAAACACGCCAAGTTATAAAAACACAACTGTCCTTTGAATTATATGCTAGGCATAATGATTTATGGCACTTAGAAATTCGCAATGCAAATCATAATTATAACTTTTCAGAAAAACACATCAGGATATCCAATTGCTCGTCAACTTACAGAGCAGCAGCAAGAAACTGTTACAGCAATGATAGTTGTTGGGTCACGTCCTCGAGAAATTTTATCAACCGGCTTAACGAATGATGCAGTACAATTTAATAAGTTTAACGTGATTGTAGATCATCAATCACAGGGAAGGGGGGTACGAATAACAAAAGTGAGGGGTACGAATGACAGCCGCTAATTTATACAATAGTTTAGTAATACCATCAAGATGTTTTGTCCACATCTAGATCGTCTATTATGAAAGGTGCAACTCCCTAATTAAGTAATCCTTTACGTAATTGAAAAAAAATTCTTGGCGAAGTTTTAAGTTCTAATTTAAAGTTATTGCGACAAAATGGTAGATCATCATATTTGTGTGGTGGACACCAACCAATTGGGCCAAGGAACTACGGCAAGATCACAAAATGCAAATAATTCGTAACTTTAAAGAATCATTCAGGAAGGTTTAAATTCATTCTCAGAATGAAAATAGAATCTTTACAGGAAAATTAAGTTCGTAATTTGTAATCAGTAAAAATAATGACAATTATTTATTATTGTTCTTATAGTTCATTTAGTTTAACCCATTTTTATTCTTGTCAATCGCGAAACATCTATTACGCCTACAAAATTCTGAAACTCGCGTAACATTTTCGGGAAAACTTATCCTAAAAAATTGTAAATATTTGCAATAGCTTGATAAAAATTGTTTTTCCGAAATACTGAAATACAAATAATAAATATCGTTATTTATTTTCTATTTTCGATTTTTCGAAAGTTCTACTTCTTTTTTTTTTGCCATACCTTCGAATAGTAAAATATTATAAATAATATGTTAAATCTTTAGAGTAAAAATTTCCCCCTTGAATATTATTATTCGATTATTTGTTGCAAATATAAAATTAAATTTTGTGATACAAGTACGTGTAGTACGTTTCAATAGCAATTTCAATACTCACGTGATAAAGAATCATGAAAATTTCGTTTATTCCTTTTAATGACGGCATCATTCCTTATAATGACGGCACCAATTCATTTAGTGAGTGTAATACCTGCAAAAATGAATATTCTTTGACGTTATCAAAACAAAAATATTGTAAAATTTGCTTAATTGAGTATGTTGAAAATTTGAATGATAATAATACATACTTGGATATACACATACGCACAAAAAAATCTCAATGTATTGAACATGAACAAGGAAGCAAGGACTTATATACATTAAATATTAAAAACTGGTGTAAAAGTTGTTCTGAAATTTTACACTTCAATCAAATTGTTACGAATGACAAATCACCTAATGCATCTTTTTATAAGATGAATTATGAAATACAAAATAATATAATTAAATGTAAAGTTTGTAGATATGAACAAGATTTTTTAAATAGTGTTGAGTTTAGTTTGTGTCCACGTTGTTATCCAATTTCTTCTGAGTGGATAGAATCATCTTTTATAAAAAAACGTATTCCGATACTTTATCTACCTTTTTGGGATGCATCTGGTCGTTGTATAGCTTGTTGGCAGTACTTAGAATTTAAATCTGACAGTCAAAAATGGTGTTCGCGTTGCCTTATCATTTATATAGGGTGTAGACATTGTTTATCAACAAATATTATTTTTGGATTAACGGAACTGTCTGAATGTAGAAAATGCAAAAGAGCCATTACTATTGATATCATAAATGTTGATAACAATTTAAAAGATTTACTTATCTTTGCAAGAATCATCAACATTAGCAATCATTATCGGATCGTTAATTATAAGAATAATCCCGACCAAAAATCTAATTCTGTATACACCTTTATACGAAAACTTGGATATCATCACTACCAATATAAGGATATACATTTAAATGCAATTAGGCCAATAATTAATGAGGATATATGTTACTATTGTAAAAAAAAATATTCTACCACGCTTTTATTTGAGCAAAAATATTGTAAAATTTGTTTGTATTGGTATTTGAAAGAATTATCTCGTAAAAATATGCGCCTAGAATTGCAAATAAGTACAAATAAAAACAAATGTTTTGAACACATTAAACCTAGAAATTTTGGTTTTTTTACACAGAATATCCAAGAATGGTGTATGAATTGTTCTGAGATCATATACTTTAAACAAATAATTACAAAATTATCATTTGATACAAATTATTACCAAAATAAATTGGTTGAATTTGAAAAGAAATGTAATTTAAGTGAACGTCAAAGACGTCAAAGTAATTCTGAATTTGAATTATTAATTTCATATGAATGGATAGAATCAACTTTAACTGGAAACCCCATTCCAATTCTTTACTTACCATGGTGGAATGATGATGATGAACAATGCATTGTTTGTAAACATATTATATCTTCAGAAGAACCTCTTTTCAAGAAATCCGATGATAATAAAAAATTAGGTGATTATCAAAAATGGTGTTCAAATTGTTTTACAATCTATACCGGATGTAGATATTGCTTAACAACAAATATTATTTTTGGATTTACAAATCAAATTCAATGTAAAAAATGTAAAAAAATATCATTTATTATCATTAACACCAAAAATATTGAAGAAAATCTTATAAAAATAAATACTGATAATCATGATAATCATAAGGAGATCGTTGATTATGTTAATAATAATAAAACTAGTATTAATCCATTAAAAATATACAATTTTATAAGTAAACTTAAATATTTTGATTCAAAATATATTAATTTAAAAAATAATGAAGACCTTTCTATACCAATCATATTTATTCCTCTTGATAATAATGAGAATATATGTTATTATTGTGGAAATAGATATTCTGTAACCCGTTTGTTTAATCAGAAATATTGTAGATATTGCCTATATTGGTTTACAAAGTTTACAACTAAAAATATGATAGGCGTACATAGAGTTACAAAAAGTATACAATGTACTGAACATGAATCAAGAAATTTGGATTTTTGTACACAAAATATCTTAGAGTGGTGTATGAATTGTTCTGATATTTCATACTTTAAACAAATTGTTACACAATATTCTTTTGATATGAAAAAACAAATTGAAATAACCCATAATGAAAATTGTATTCTATGTGGAAAACCAATTTATTCTTTAATGTGTTCGAATTGTTATTCAGTTTCTTCTGGATATATAGAATCAACTTTAACTAAAAAGACTATTCCAATTCTTTATTTGCCATGGTGGGATACTTTTAGTAATTGTATAGCATGTAAACAGAGCTTTGAATATAAATCTGATTGTCAAAAATGGTGTTCCCGTTGCTTTATAATTTATAATAGTTGTAGGTATTGTTTAAAAACAAATATTATTTTTGGATTTACAAATCAATCTCAGTGTATAGAATGCAAAAGAGTGGAACCTATTAGTATTAATGGAAATAATAATATAGATGAATTTCTTAATTCTACAATCGATACTAATGATGAGATTGCTAATTATATGAAGAACGCTGATAAAGATAGCAATCCATTAAATATCTATAACTTTATTAAAAATAAACTTGACATCTTTAAGAATATAAAAATGATTAAATATTCCGAAACTGAAGGTTTGAAGGCAATAGCTAAAGGAGGATTTGGTACTATTTATAGAGCAACTTGGAAAATAAACCCAACAAGGAAAGAAACTGTTGCAGTGAAAAGATTTTCGAATTCTCAAAGTATTAGTAAAAATTTTGTTAACGAGGTAAATAAGATTCATTTAAAATTATTTCTATTATTTTTTACTATTTTATCAGATTAGAATATCATTTTAAATGAATTGTTAATATATATATATATATATTTTTATTAGTTAAAATCGTTTAATCAATACCAAAATAGATTTGAACATATTATTAAATATTATGGTATTACACAAGATCCTAAGACGAAAGACTATATGATAATAATGCAATATGCAAATGGAGGTGATTTATGTAATTATTTACGTGAAAATTTTACAAATATTACGTGGGGAGACAAACTAGTTATTATACTGGAAATTTCAAGAGGGTATTTATTTATATTTTTTATTTAATTACAGTAAGCTTTTAAATAATTATTATATGTAAACTAAATAATTTTTCATTTATAGACTTGATTGCATTCATAAAGAAAATTTTATACATAGAGATTTGCATAGTGGAAATATATTGTCAGTTAAATCACGTAATTACTCTATAAATTATAAATGGTATATCGGAGATTTAGGGTTATCACAACCCGCAAATATTATTTCAAATGATGAAATATATGGAGTGATACCTTACATTGCCCCAGAAGTATTTAATGGTAAAGCATTTTCAAAAGAATCTGATATTTATAGTATGGGTATGATTATGTGGGAATTAACTACAGGTCGTAAACCTTTTTCCGATATTGAACATAATACTGAACTTATTCTTAAAATTGTTGACGGAAAACGACCTGAAATTACAAAAGATACCCCTGATTGTTTTGCAAAGTTAATTAAAAAGTGTTGGGATCCTGACCCCTTAAAAAGACCTCACATAAAAGAAATTCGCAAAACTATTGCTTTATGGGTATATATGAAAAATAATATTTTATGCCCATTTATTAATCAAGACGAGAAAGTAGAAGTTATTGAAAAATTCGATCAAGCTGAAAAAATGCGATTGGAATTAATAAAGGAAAATAAATTTGGTTCTGAATCTGATGCGAGCTCTCATCCTGGAGCTATTTTTACTAGTAGATTATTAAATTCATCTTCTATTATTTCATATTTAACAACTTCGAAACAAAGTATGTACTTTAATTTATCATGATCATTTAAATTATTTTTTTTATATCGAATACTGACTAATTCAAAACTGATTAATTTTATTTTTTAACGCTCAAACTTTTTAAGAATTTCTATTTGGGTCATTAAGGCAACAATCTTCTGTACGTTCTAAAAACTCTAAAAGGTCTCATTCAGAATCGTCAACTGAAAGTCAACAGCGGCAAACAAAAAAATTAAAATTTTTTCTGAAAAAAGAAACAACTCCAGCTCTTAGTGGACGTCATTATCAGATGCTAGAAACAGTATGACACACACCTTAGCCAAAAATTTTTCAGAAAACTCTCCTTATTTAAAAGAAATTCGAATATGTAAATAGTTGAAATATTTTTCTAAATAAACAAATATCTAATAATAACCAATGTATATATAATTATTAAATAATAAAATATATTTTTTTATGATGCACGTGAAATTTTAAGGACAGGATTGTGACAGATTATTAAATATCCAATGGTAAATAAAATAAATATTGAAAAATATATAAATAAATTCACTTCGGTTCAATATAAAAGTATTGTATTAACAATTTAGAAGCTTAGGTAAAAATTAAGTGGCATATAAGGTAAAACGAAGACTTACACAAGAAATAATGATTGATGCGAATTAAATCAACCAGTCATTATCAACTTGCAACGTGAGTGCATACGCATGTACTGTACATTATACAGTACGGTCTCTTCGCGGTCTAATTACCAGGATGATAAATGAAATTATGAATTATAATGCCAATCATACCAAGTAAGTCATGTGCTGATCGGACGTTGTCTACCTGAGTGAAATCTGAGTCTTCTTTTTAGAATCCAAAAAGGCTTTGACATGGAGAGCCGACCATTTTTAACATTGGAAGGAATTTCGTCAGACATTATTTTATAGATCTGGCAAAAAAATAATACAATTAAAAAAAGAAAAATCCTTAGTATGAGATCAAGCTGCGCAGCGTGTCTCATTTGGAACTGATTTCTTCTCGTATATGACGCTTCTTGTCATAGAAGTTTTGTCTGGTCGCTCAAAGATGGGGTTTACCACATCGGACTAAGCTAATACATATTATTAATAGATATAAACGAAAAAAAGAACAAAGGCTATGCCTACGAAGTAAATTTTATTATTTTTATTTAACAAGAAATAGAATAACTAATAAAACGAAATGAATGAGTAGCAGATTGTTTCAAGGGAGGAATCACTCGAGCCCTAACCCATAAAATGAGAGTTCCTTCCCCGCTACTCATTATTTCGTACCCATACACTAATCTTATCTAATATTTTACTATGAGAGTTATTCTTTTTATAGAAATTCTTCACAGTTTGCGCACAAATCTTTCCTATACTATAATCATTTATTTCAACAATCTGTTTAAAACGAGACCAAATATCATATGAAACACCCTCAGATGATATATTGGACGAAGAATTATCAGATGAAATAATCGATTCCGTTTCATTTTGTTTTTTGGCAGTCTCAGACTGAGCTGTGCTCATGAAGTAATTATCTCTATTTGCTTCTTCACGTCGTCTTTTTTCTTCATAGAGATTATTAACGATTTGCTCGATATTATTAATTCTATCGAGGATGCTTTGCGCCTCCATGACATTTCGAAGAAAGGCTAAAGCCACTTCGTGGGTTTCACCCAGAAATATAATCCATTACTTTCTTGATATATATATTATTATTACATAATTTATTGGACCATGCATTATATAATAAATCAATTTACAAAAGTGCGTGAATTTTTTCACATGATCACATAATTTTTTTATTTTCTGAAGAACTATTGAAAGATCAATGTTACGATTTTGGGATTATTATACTCCAAGATTTTTAGGTACAGTATACTTTTAATTACTCAATTGAAAAAAAATCCTGAGACGCAAGTGCTGAGACGCTCATTTTTCGTCATCAATTCCCTCAGCTTTCACTTCATCTTTCACTTCATCCTGTGGTGCCAACACACTGGCTTGCGATTGGAGGATGCGGACAATGATGGAAATCACTTCCTTCGCCTCACGCATGTCTCCTCCGAATGCACAGACATACGGCTTGGAAATCTTTATGGTAGGGTTCTCTGGTAAACCGGACCAAAGGATGAATCGCCATTCATTTCCAGTTGACACGATGCCGCAAATTATTGGGGGGTCAGTGATTGACTCGTCGAGTTTACGTTTACGTTTCTAAATAGCGATGTGTCAGCCAAACAGCCCAAAATGAGCAATTAAACAAAGTCGATAAAGCCAAGTACCTCCGCCGCGGTATGAAGCTGCACAAGGATTTGTGCTATTCCTTTCTGGATTTCAAACATTTTGGCTTCCGAAATCAGAATTGCGAGATCTCGGCAATAGATAACATAGTCCAGGAGGCCATAGCCACGACTGCCGTCGAAATCTACTTCAACAACCAGCCGCGTCGATGGATATTTCGACCTAACTTTTGCAACTGCATCGACCATAAAAGGGTTAATATAATTACGTGCCGTAGCTTCGTTTGACGAAACTTCGTAATGAAATGCTGATGCAATTCTTTCGAGGTTGTCGATGAAGCGTCTCAGTTCTTGCCCGTTGAGCACAGTATCGGTTCCGAAGGTTGCATCTGTAGAGACACCAATATTGATCAGTTTACAAAGTAAGGCTGACCTTACAGCCGATTTCATAATGTACGGGACACAAATGCAGGAGAGACACTCGGAGAAACTCGGTAAAACCCAGAATAAGGTAAAAGTTATACCGTTAGATTCGGTGTGTCCTGTACATTATGAAATTAGCTGTAATAAAAACCTCAATACAATACCTATATCGAGCTCAGGAATTGCTTCAATTGCTGAATATTGGTCGTGCAAAATTTCCTTGAGCACATCTTTAGGTGTCCATTCAGCATACGGTTTTTTGCCTACAAGCCATACGTGTAAGAAAATGTTTAAGATGTTGGTAATATTAAAAAATCGACCAGACCTTTGATTCGAATCAATAAGGATATGACCTGTCTCTTATACACATCTAGATGTGTATAAGAGACAGCAATTCGGATTAGTCTTTTTCATCAGGTCAGTGAATATGAACTCTTCGTCGATGGTTTTCTTTTTTGTTTCCTGATCGACAAAGTATAACGCATTCCCGTCCTCTTGCAGACGCTTGTACTTCTGTTTGGTTTTAATAAGAAGCATGTACCAGACTCCAGTCGTGTGGGGAAGGCAAATTTCCGCTGGAGTACTAAGCAATCTGACTTTGACCACGACTATAAGGTCGGAGGCCAAGAGCAAGAATGAGTAAGGCATACTGTCCGAGCGTAAGAAATATGTACAAGAAAAAAAGACGTACTAGTGTTATCCGTCAGTGGATAGCGCACGACAAGTGGCTTTCCAGCTGACGTGTCCTGCTCCACAGCCTTAAGCGTAGTATCGAGAAGAAGACTCTCGGTGCGGGCATCGAAGTTAAAGAACTCCAAGTCCAGATTGTTCTTTTGGGCCAGTTCGCTGAATCGGTTGACAAGTTGGGGTGCAAGATCTGATAAATTGGCATCTCTTTTGAGATTGAAGGTAATGTCGTCCAGTAGAGTTGGTTGAGGATATCCCTCAAGGAGAATCCAGAGAGAGTAGACTTGGTGAGACATTGTGGAAGAAATGTGTATCTAAGCCACGTTTCACAGGTAACAATTTAGACAGCAGATCAGATGATCACCTCGATCACCCGTCATGACCTATAAAAGGCTGAAAGATCGGACCAACCCCCCCTAATTAGTCAAAAACGATAACCCTTATTTTTGGTCATGCACAACCAATCATTTCTAGTTGTTAAAAATGCGCCTTATTGTTTTACAACTCAACGGAAAAAGAAGCAAGAAGAAAAACGCTAGTCATAAATTTCGAGCGGGACAAATGATATTTGTAACGTGAGTTAGAAATATGACTGCAGATTTCGCTAAGGAAAGATATTTTCATTGTACCGTACTTTGGAAATAAATAGGTTTTGAAAGAACTGTTGAGTGAGTATCCACAGTGAAGCGAGAAAAAACTATCACAATTCGCTCCAAGTGCTATGCTCATATCCATGTATCTTTTTTATTCAAATATTTGGTTCTCTAGAAACGATAATTCCAAGTTAATACAAAAAAGAAGAACTGTGAGTAGACTTTGTAGTGATTCTTATCCGTTTCTACAAGAAAATAAACTAATCAACTTCACTGTTTTGATAGGTAAAAATATTAGTGAGTCTGTATGATATATCGTGGCTAAGAAATACATAAGAATTTATTCCAAGCAGCATGTGTATGGAACGAGAATCATTTTTTCTCCTGCTAACTTTTAATTGGTATATTGTCATCTATCCAAGACCAAAAAGTCTGTTTACTCATAGACGAATAGTTTAGATTATTTCTTCAGTGATCTCTCCAGAAACATATTTGGACACAATAAGGCCCATATTTGTATTCTGAATTGGCAATATCACGAAAATAGCAGATTAAAATCGTACAGTAGCTACGCAGTATGTCATATAACTTTGACGAATTGAGGTCACCTGAGAAAATGATCCCTTCTTATTTGTGAATTTACACTATTGCACCCTCGAATACAATTTAAGTACTATAAATTAGTTAATCTTGTTCTCCATGTCTGAAATATACTGCTAATAGATTATATTACACTAGCAAAGGGGCGATAACTAATCAAGATAGTTAGAATACATGATGGGCATTCCCTTGGGTATATTGCTTGAGTGTAATTTACTGCGATTCGCATATTAGTTCTGGTTTATTCACATGCAATCTGAAGGTTATTCACGATTCACGGATTAAGCAATTTATTCTAGAAATCTGTAGACAATCGAAAATGATACTTTTAATTCATAATAGTTTCTGAAGTAGAAAAAAACCAGAAAAAAGAAAGAGTCTTGGACACGTGGATATAAGTATTACTG